CGTCATCTACGTATCTCTGCCATAGGGTTGGCTTTAGAGATCTAGATTCTAATGCCATTTCCTCAAAGTATTCCATATATAGGTCTGCCATTGCTGGCGATAATGGCGAGCCCATTGCTAAGCCATCATCCTGTCAATATATGTTTGATCACATTCCAAAATGTGTTATTTTCTTACAGAATGTCAGCATCTCCATCATTTTCTCTATTGGTATATGGTCCGTTCTCCTATGGACGAGTCCGAGGCCACTTTATCCTTGACTAACGCGAGTGCCCCTTCCGTGGGTACCTTGGTGGACAAACTCAACACGTCCAGACTCACCATCTGGTTGGTCCTTGTTCTTGAATAGGAAGAGTTTGCGTTCTGCTTTCATTATAGGATCTTTATTTTCTTTACTCTAGGTACCATTTGCAATGTGGTCTTCCAATTATTGAATATAGAAATGAAGATGAGGATAACAGTCCGAATAATATAAATAACGTAAGTAATCTTAATGCTTAATCTTAGAGATACAGACAGATAAATTTATGTTGGTAGGATGACACATGCGCACGACGGAAGGGTGCTGGGAATTTCAGATTTTTTTTTATCTAGCTGAATCCATTTAGGGTTTTTTTTTTTTATTTCCATCACTTTAGTAAATAGGCATACCACACTGCCAGGAATGGTGAAATGTTGTCAGTGTCGGGACATTTATTTCGTAGTGATTTATTTTTCCTTTGATCAGAGTTGCATTTTTTATGTCAAAGTTGCGGTCAGTCTCGTTATATTTTACGTATTGTTTTGTAAAATGTCCCATTTGTGTTCATATATTCTTTGAGGTTTCTCCTATGTATTTTTGTGTCAATTATTACAGGCAATGGAGTAAACGCCTCCTTCATGTTTTAGTTTATTGTTTTGTTTAGTATTGACGAAGTCGTTTATTGTTTTGGATGTCATAGTAACGACTTTTATGTTGACTTTATAAAGATTCTTTTCGATTGTAGATGTGATAGAATTAGTACACAAGATAATATATTTTTTGTTTCATTAGTTCTTGATATATATATTTTTTTAAATTTATATATATATATATTTAAAAAAAATTTCAGAGTTAACCTGTAGAAAAAAACAATATGTATAAAAGTAAAAGACAATAGAAAAACGGTATTATTAACCGACACGTTTAGTCTAATGTGGACTTTTTTTTAATGTGGATTTTTTTAATAGTAACTTGACGTAATTTTCAATTGACAATATGAACACAATAGCGTTTTCTAGATTCTTCTATTTGCTAAGGATATTTTGATTGTTGTTAATAGTTACTTGTTGCAATAAATTCATTTTGTTCTTGCCTTGAAAAATTCCACATTGAACAAAACGCGTCGGCTAATAATACAGTTTTCCTATTGTCTTTTTTTGAAACATTTATATATATATATATATAATATCTTATATATATATATATATATATATATATATATATATATATATATATATAAGTGAATATGACGAATCCAACTGGAATTGGAACTCGGCTCTCCAATTAACAATTCGGAGCCATTATCTATTACACCACCCACACATCCAAGTTTACAGCACCTGGTCACCCATCTATGTACTGGCCTGAGTCTGCATTGTTTCAGCTTGATGTGGCCGTAATCCTGTCTCTACTCTAGGTTTCACCGAATTGTATCAACTGTTCAGGCGACTTGATAGTAGATTTACCATCAAATGTCCTGAAAAGTAGACTGCAAATTAAATGAAATCAATAAAAATATCGTCCAAATATTGAACTTTTACCTCATCCAGGATATCTATCTATCTATCTATCTATCTATCTATCTATCATATATATATATATATATATATATATATATATATATATATGAAGAAAAAGTATACAAAAAAACAAACAAAAATCTTAATATGCAATTATGCTGTATTAATGTTAATATAAAGTCAACGTCGGACGTTTCGGTCAATTTTAGACCATCTTCAGGACATTTTCAAAATGTCGATTGAACTATTTTATATAAACGGAAGGGATTTCTACTACTATAATACTTTGATTCGCTCACTGGTAAGGTTTGCCAGCGTGTTCGTGCAGCGTTACAATTTTCGTACGCTTCCTTGGAGTAACGTCCATCGCAGACAATGGCCGTAGGACAACTAATCGACAGTTGAGACAGTAGTTTCTGGGAGGGATAAAAATCTAATGCAATCATGGATGACAAAATTTCATCATACACCCCGAAAATAGTATCATATTACTGCACACCACTGAAAATTACCTAATCTGAGCAAAAATAGAAATCGATTGCTTCCTGTCACTCCAGTGGATCTAAAACTGACCGTATGACGAAAGAAAGAAAGCTAAAGCGGCTGTTTCAATTAATTTGCACAAGGGTGTATTTGATAATCTGCTATTAATCCAAAGCTCTCTTCTCGCTTACATAGACGCCATTTTGACATTCACTAAGACCAAACTTTAATGTAACATCCGGTTAGATGCATGTCCTTCCAGCTGTAGTTATATACTTACACATAATCTCCTTATAGCTTTTTCCATAGTTCAGCAGTAACCCTATAGGAAATGGGAGTAGCGGTTGTCAGCTTAACCACGATTACCCTTTGTTACTCCCCCGCCTATTCTCTTCATGGTTTCTTTAGCCCTCCTAGCTTGCCTGGATCCCCCGTTCAGCCTTCCGACTGAAGAAGTTCAGCTGCTTTGATTATTGGAAGTAGCCCTCTAAAAACCTTGAGGGGCTCTTAGATCTTTTATTGAAAATAGTGATAGTAAATATACCTATGAGGGTCGTCTTTCTTTATTGTGTATCCCTGAAATTTCAATTCTTTTCTGATTTTGAGTATCGGTTCCATAATCGGTTCTGTTTTCAAAACTCCTTAATTGTAATTTTTAGCTTTCGTTGGTAGAGCCACCACCCTGTCACTTCAAGTCATTTCAAGTTGCTTCTTCGTCTGTGAAGAGATTGTCCAGCCTTCACTGGCATTGAAGAGATTAGATATTACATAGCAGTTCAGCATTATGTTCTTGGTTACATGATTATTAAATTCAAAAATATCAGATAATTTCTAACCAAAGTCTCATAACTACAAATCATTTATATCGACTGTTACGAATACATAAGTCAATTATGGAGCGTTCTGAGATTCAAGAAATTTTTATGTGGGTGTTTTCAGGCAAATTGGATATAATTATATTTTCTGTTGGCGCTTCTGAGTGAACCAATTCCTGTTGAAGTGTATACGACATGCTGATGTGGATGGCTGTTTCTATCATCCCTTTCTTTCTTTTTTCTTTTTATATATTTGCTTCGATTAATTGGGCCGCTTATTTCGTTGGCAACAGATTCGTCCAATTTGGTAGAAACATGTCTTTCGCTTTCTATAGATTTCTTCTTTTTTCCGTCATTCACCCCTTCCTTCCTTTATCGTTCACTCATTCTTCGCTTTCTCGTCCTTCTATTTTCTTACTTTCTTCTTTCATTCTATCTCTTTCATTCTCCTTTATATAATAAATGCAAATGTCAATGTGTCACTGTGTCGCACTTTTCAACTTTACCCCCAGAGGACGTAGTCCAATATATTAAGCCATTTTGGAATCGGGGTTGGCAATTAGTTGGAGATTCGTCTCTAGCTGTGCTGCACGAACTCTGCCTTCGGGTAGAGAGGAACCCAGGTGAGGCTATGCCGAAAGGCAGTCTCTCGTCTGGGGTGGTAGACAACTACCCCGGTCTACAGGGAATATTTGCCCGAGCTTGGGGCTCGGTTTTTACCCCGCATTAAAAAACGGCATTGTACCACATCCTGCCTCGCGGGGAGATAAGGTAAATATCGCTATCACACTTTATTCAACTTTACTCCTAGAGGTCGTAGCCCAATATATCATACCATTTTGGAATCAGGCCGGCTCCGTGAGCAAATTAAAAGCATTCTGGGCTGAATCCGGTCCCTCTATCTTGAAATTCTGGATTGCCATGGTTTTATTACTGTGATTGTTTTCGGTGTTTTTTTTACTTGATTTTTTGCGATGATTTTTTTTGTACGATGACAATTTTTTATAATGAAAATCACCCATGAAATAAAAATAATTGTTTGTACGGAAGGTAAGGACCTACGTACATCAAATTGTCTTTAAATTAAGTGGCGGCAAAAGAATTATCGTTGAACTTTTAAAAGGTAAGCTTAAATATTAATGCATTACTTATATGCAGTGATCAGTTTTGAAAACCTTCTCTAGTTTATTGCTATCTATCGCATCTATTCCTGTACTGTGATGAAGGCCCAATCAAGAGCCACCACCTCAAAATTCCCACCCATTATTGCAGGAGCTAGCTTAAATGCCGTCCGAGAGGGCGGATTTTAAGCCAGCTATTCGGCTTTTTATCTTTCTTTATGGCCACTTTTTTCTTTTTTTTTATTTCTTTATTTATTTTCTTCATCTTTTATATATACCATTTCTTTCTTTTTTTTTTTTTCTTTCTTTCTTTTATTTATTCTTTCTTTTCTTTCTTTTCTTTTCTTTTTTTTTCTTTTTATTTTTTAAATATTCTTTCTTTTCTTTCTTTCTTTTTTTTTTTTTCTTTCTTTCATTCATTTTTTCTTCTATTTTTACTTTATATCTTCTTTTTTTCTTTGTTTTTTTTTCATTCTTTTTTTTTTCTTTCTTTCTTTCTTTCTTTTTCTTTCATTCATTCATTCATTCATTCATTCTTAAATTTTCTTTTCTTTCTTTTCTTTCTTTCTTTCTTTCTTTCTTTTCTTTCTTTCTTCTAAAATTTTTTCTATCATTCTTTTTCTTTCTATTTCTTTCTTCTTTTTTCTTTCTTTCTTTCTTTCTTTCGTCTTTCTTTTTTCTTTATTTTCTTAATTTCTTTTCTTTCTTTCTTTCTTTCTTTCTTCTATAGATTTCTTTTTCCTTATTAATTTATTTTGAATATTTTATCATTTTCCCTCTGATTATTTTCTTATCTTTTTCCTTACTGTTTTCGTTTTTGATGCAACCTTTATCTCCATTTCTTTCCACCACTCTCATTTTCTCCTTTCCTTTTTCCTTCTGCCTTTCTTTTAATACCTCTTCATTTCCTGCTCTTTCATTTCGTCTTTATTTTTTCCTTCCCCCAATGCAGTCTGTCATTCTAGCATTTTTCTTCCTTTTGTCTTTAATTTTCCTTATTTATTTCTCTCTTTTCATTTCTTTCTTTTTTCTTTCTTACCTTCGTTTTAATATCTCTTTTCATTTTCTGACTTCCTTCATTTCATTTTAACCTCGATTCATTTTCTTTTTTTTTTCTTTATCCTTCTTTCTCTCTATCTTTCATTTCTTCCTTCTCTGACTTCAGTTTTCGTATTAATCTCTTTTCATTTTATTTCTTATTTTCTTTCTTTTTTCTTTTTCTTACTTTCGTGTTATTCTCTTTTTCATTCTTTGAATTATTTATTTAATTTTAACCTCTCTTCATTTTCTTTCATTTTTACCTCTCGTCATTTTCTTTCTTGCTTCATTTTTCTTTCTTTCTTTTTTTCTTTCTTTCTTTCTTTCTTTCTTTCTTTCTTTCTTTCTTGTGATTCTCTTTTTCATTCTCTGAATTATTTCTTAGATTTTAACCTTTCTTCATTTTCTTTCTTTTTTCCATTTGATTATTTTTCATTTTAACCTCCATTCATTTGACTTATTTTTCTTTTTCTTTCTTTCTTTCTTTCTTTCTTTCTTTCTTTCTTTCTTTTATTTAAACCTCTCTTCATTTTCTTTAATTTTTACCTCTCTTCATTTTCTTTCTTCTTTCTTTCTTTTATTCTTTCTTTCATTTTAACCTCTTTTCATTTTCTTTCTTCACTCATTCTTTTTTATCACTTTTCTTCTTCTTTCTTTCTTTCTTTCTTTTTTCATTCTTTCTTTCATTCCTTCATTTTAACCTCTCTTCATTTTCTTCTTCTTTCTTTCTTTTCTTCTTTATTTCTTTCATTTTAACCTCTCTCTTTTTTTCTTTCCTTCATTTTAACCTCTCTTCATTTTCTTTCTTTCTTTTTTTTTTTTTATTTTTTTTTTCATTTTTTCTTTGAAAAGAAATTTTTTTTTTTTCTTTTTTTTATTTTTTTCTTTTTTTTTTTTTTTTTTATTAATTTTATCATTTTCGTACATAGAAAGAAACCTCTCTTCATTTTTTCTTTTTTTTTTTTTTTTTTCTTAATTTTCTTTCTTTTTCTTTTCTAATTTTTTTATTCTTTTTTGGAATTTCTATGAATTATTTTTTTTTAATTTTAACCTTTCTTCATTTTCTTTCTTTCTTTTTCTTTTTTTTTCTTTTTTTAATCTTTTCTTTTTTTTTCATTTTTTTTTTTTTTTTTTTCTTTTTTTTATTCTTTCTTTTTTTTTTTTTATCTTTCTTTTTTTTTTTTTTTTTTCAAAAACAATTTTTTTCGTTTTTTCATTTTAATTTTAACTCTTTCTTTTTCCTTCCTTCATTTTAACTTCTCTTCGTTTTCTCTCGTTCTAATCTCTTTTCTTTTACCTTGTCTTTATTTCTTTTCACTATGTTTAGTCATTCTTCTCTTACTTCTCCCCTCATTCTTCTTTCTTTCTTCTTTGCTCCTCCTTTCATCCCCACCCACACCAATTTGAATTGCTTCTTTCTCTTTATTCGTTTAATCTTTGCTCTCTTCTTTCCTGACTTCAATTACAATCACCATGGACAGATTAAAATCCGACGTGTGCCTGTCAATTTTTTTTTTTTAATCAATTTTTTTTTTCTTATTTTCGTATCACATCACTATTTTTTTTCTTAAGCTGCTCTTTCTGTTAAGGATTCCTTTTAATTATCAAATTAATAGATTTTAGTTTAGATGTCAAATCTATTCAGCGCCTAGTGTGCCCTCACCGACCCTCTCATCGCATACAAAGACATTCAGATTAAAACGTAAATATAGTTTCTGTTCGAACGCCAGAAACTAACTAGGGTTTGACCACATTCCAAACATATTTCTTTCTCCGCCCCCTTACCGGGTTTGTTTATATACAAAGACATGATAAAAATAAATAGACTCTTCTGATTTTAATCGAAAACTTTTTATTGAATTATCTAAATAATTCAATGGAGGCACTTTGTTTAATTTTTGGAAGGTTACATTTTTTAGTCGGATTTCGGTGTCGCGTTTTACATCGTCTGATAAAACACATTCCAGATAATTTCATTTCTGCATCTGCCTGATTTTGACGTCTCCAGTGTGTAACTCGCATTTTGGATTGTCCTTTTTGCTAACAACCATGAGTTCAGGTTTTCTTCAGATATATTGAACAATTCGTGCAATAATAACAATACATTATTTAAAAACTATGAAGTCTAATCAAGCCTCAACTCGAATGTTTGGTCTCCATTTTTTTTTTTAAAACAAAACCCCAAAGCAAGGGAAGCCATTTTTAAAAAAGGGGTTACAGATATTGGAGTGAGAGCAAATAGGATTTGATAGAGGAAAGGATTTCAAGAAGGATATAGGGATAGATGGGAATCTGGAGACGTCCATTGACATTACATTTGAATAGTTGGAAATTATAGCTATCAGGGAAACAAGAAAAGGAGAGGAGAACAATTTCAGTGATGGCCATAAGTACATCAGCTAGAACGAAATTCAAAGCGGAAACCATATTGCTTGTCGGAGAGCAGATCATGGGATGTAAGGTAATTAACCACTTCGGCGTTGATTAATTTTTGAATTTTTAAAATTGAATTATTTTAATTAGGACGGTCAGAAGAGTCACCAGAGTTCTTAAAGTCAAGAACAATCGATGAGTTTTTTAAAAACAGTCTGAAAAACAAGATTAATTGAGGCATATAGTTATATAATTTGGAGATTAAATTTATATATTCATTTTATTTGATTTTCAGCATATTATGTCTGTGGTTTTAACCACAAATCTTTTTTATAGAATAAATCAAAACGCCATTTTGTATGGCTGTCTTAATATTTACTTTGATAAACTATCGTTGTCCTTGTTTTAATGATTGCTGAGAACATGCCGGAGAAAGTAATTTTTTTTTTATCGATAAATCAATCGAGCAAGCCGTAGTAGAAGAAAAGAGTTTCCATTGAGAAAATTGCAAGAAAATTAAAATATTTTTTTCATTTGAGCAATTTTACAGTTTTTAAAAAAATTCGATTATTAAAAACCTGTTGCAAGAAAATGTCGGTAGAAATGTAACATGAAAACATTTTTGACGACAACATGAAGAGCGTCACAATATTAAAAACAAAAGATAAATTAAAATAAACAAACGGAGACATAAAACTTTTATAATCATCGATTGTTTCCTCCGACACCCAAATGTTACTTGAAAATTATCTTTCTATCTATCGATCTATTTCAGTCTGTTCATGTCTGTCTCATTTAGTTCAGATCTACATAATGTTTATCTTTGTCTATCAATTCACTCCAACTAAGGCAAGAAAGCCACTAAGACGCGTAATTTGAAATGAGTGTGAAAGAATATGAGAAAAGAAAAACATTATTTAGTTTAGAGAAAAACAAAGAAAGAACAGAAATTAAGAAGACAGATAACGATTGACATTGCATTTAATTTTTTGAAGAAAAAGGCAATAAAGCCACTAGGGACACAAAGGGTTACTGAGTGTTAGAGAATATGAGAAAAATTTACTATTAAGGAGGAGGACAATAAAAGAACAAGAATTAAAGATCAAAAGATAACGATTGATATTATAATTTAAATTTAAAATCGTTTCTTTCCAAGCAAGGCAATAAATTTTACTAAGACGCAAACGGTTACTGATTTAAAATCTTAATATGAGAAAAAAAAAACATTATTTAGTATAGATAAAAAAAAGAGAGAAGAAAGAACAGGAATTAAGAAGACACAAGATAACGGATGACATAGAATTTAAATTTTAATCGTTTCTCTCCAAGCAAGGCAATAAAAGCCATTTATGAAATAAAATTGTACAAAATGAAAAAATATGAAAAAAAAAATATTAGAAATGGGTAAAAGAAGAATAAAAAACATAAAATAACAAAACAGATTTTAGCGATTGATATTCCATTTAAATCTTTGAAGGTCAAATATATGTAGAAAGTAAGATACCTTTAGAGATTTCCACAAGCGAGAAGTACGAGAAAATAAACTGTTAGCATAAGATTTACGATTACATCTAACCATTTCTGCGTTTAAATTCACATCAATTCATAAAGCCTAGATACTATAGAGGAAAGTTCATTAGAATGATTACCATGAAAAAGACGCAGAGAAGCTAAATTATGACGGTGGGAAAGTGACTGAAGCCGAAATGCCAGGTCAAAACCATTGATATTTCAGATTCTTCTTTGAACTTTATCAAGACTCTATAAATATATATCAGAAACAATTGACCCGATGTGCCAGCAATATTCAAAGCAAGGACGAATGGTAGACTTATAAATCATACTTATTATAAAACCCAGGATGTGTGTGTGTGTATGTTTGTTCGTTTATATATTGGATCGAATTTCCTACATTTTTCAACCGATTTCAACAAAACTTCACAGGACTACGTAAAATTACCTTGCGGTGGTTCTGACAGCGCCAAAAATTGGAAAAACAATTGTTTTTGCACAAAATCAATTTGAAAACACGATTAAGAGGCATCACTGTTGCGAGAATGAAAGGGGGACAACTCATATCGAATTATACTTATTATAAAACCCAGGTTGTTTGTGTGTGTGTGTGTGTGTGTCTGTACGTTTATATATGGGATTGGATTTTCTACATTTTTCAACCGATTTCAACAAAACTTCCGATTTTTTTTTTTTGGCAGGTAGTGTTTCTTATTGTCTTGCAACACTTTTTCTTTATTTTTACATTCAGAATGCTTTGAAAATTCCATTTACAAGACAATTGTTTATAATAAAATTCTATTCAATCGATAGACTCATAACGATTGAAAACAATGTTTTTTCTTTGACTTTGGGTTTGACCAATTCGTAAAAAAAAAAAAAAAAAAAAAAAAAACTAATTAAGACATGCGTGTCCGTCAACTTTAAACAATAATCTTTGTCAATTTTATTTTTCAGTCTTTATGATGGTGGATACTCTCCTGCTAGTATGTTATATTTTGGAGATAAAAATTGTCTAACATTTACAGTGAACCATATCTTTCCAGAAGCAGACCTCAGTAAATTGATTCTTTATAATCTTCTCGCTTCATGTCAGTGGAAAACGTTAGGCCGGGAGTCATTTTCTCTGGAGGTTAGCATCAGCCATAATCATGGATGGCACAATGAGATTTCTCAGACGATTAATAGAGAGCAGATTTGTTTTGAAGGCGTTCAAATTAACAAGCGATTCCTTGCCCCAGTTAACAACAGATTGTAGGTCATTTTCCTCATTAGTTGCCTATTTAACCTTCTTTCAGTTATGTGTCATGCGTGATACACACTTAGGTGATCATGTATCTTTCGATAAGTGACTGACGAGGCAGATTTTTTTTTACTGCAGGAGGTTGCCTTTTCTCTCTGCGGTAGGACAACTGTCATCCAAGGCCATACAACACGGTCTGTTCTGCTATTTAGCCACAGCTGGTGGCGGGGGGAGAAGAGGATTCATACCTTTAGTAAGGGTATTAGCAGATTTGTGAATGTAATGGATTCGGCTGGAATTCGAACTCGGCTCTCTGATTCTTCAATTCTAGCCGCAATCCATTACTCCACCGTGCCTCCTTCTCAAACCCATCCGACTTACTATTAAGACAGGAGTAAACAGTTGTGTCATCGGCATAGATCCTGAGTTGAGAATTGATGCCATCAGGAAGGTCAAGATACAAGAATAAGGCCCTGGGGGACGCCTACATGAATATAAAATGATCAAGAAGAGTTGCCGTTAAAGACAATATAGGCTGTCCATAAAGTTCGTGTGCACTTATAACTTTATTTGTACTTGCGATAGAAATAATCTGTAAAAAATGTTACAAAGTTTAATGTACCTAGTTTTAAGTATGGCTAAAATAACTAATGTGATTTCAGGCATTACTGTAAATCAGTTGGCAAATGTTTTCCATGAACTGCAAAATCGTATTACCCTTTGTATTGCTAATGATGGAGGACATGTGGGAACTTAAATAAAATTTCAATAAAACCTTAAAAAATATAGATTTACTTCTTTCTAATCCTTTTTACAAATTATTTCTATCGCAAATACAAATAAAGTTATGAATTTTTTAAAGTGCACACGAACTTTATGGACACCCTGTATTTATTTCACGATTTGATAAGACTGAATCACTCCAAAAAGTCGTCCAGAAATACCATAACCTTTCTCCTTGTGAAGAAGACCAGAATTTTATAACCTGTCAAATGACTACGAGATGTGTACAAAGCAAAAGCACCGAGCTTCACCATTCTTATTTAAAGCTTGATAGACTTCTTCAGCAATAAACGTTAATACATCAGCAGTTGACCTAGAGAAGCGAAAGCCATATTGCTTATCTGGAAGTAGACTCAGAGGAGTGAGATACTAACAATTTAGAGTTGATTAAAGCCTCGTCCCTTCAGTACATAGGCGATCATGGATCTCCACTACCCCTATCCCTTGTAGCTCTCAATAAGTATTGCCCTTTGCTAATTCTCTCAAACCATGTTACTCCATCCACTTGCTTAAGCCCGCTAGGTATGTCACGCGTTGCTTTCCCTTGTCTCTTTTCCCCTCTATTCGACCTGTGAGTATCAAATTCTCCGTGCCCTCCTTTCTCATTATGTGTCACAGAAAATTCAGCTGCCTCTTCCTGATGTTAAGTATAAGCTTCCTCCTTGTTTGCATGCTCTCTAAAACCTCATCGTTGCTCACACGCTCGTTCTATGATATCCTGACCATTTTCAGCTACGAATTTTAATTTAAAAACAGGCAGGATGTTTTGAACTGTTGACGATATTAGTTTGTAGTGGGATACTGGCTAGGAATAAAAGGAGGACGTTAAAAAGGACATGGTAGGAGATATGGCAGAAGTAGGCAGAGTTACAGTGTATTATGGAGGTAGGAGAGCCTGGGGAGAGGAGGGAAGGGGAATAATATATATATATATATATATATATATATATATATATACTTATAATAAAGAAATTGTACCAGGAAGAGGCAACTAATGAGGAAGGCGGGTTTGGAGAATCTGATACTCACGGTTCGAATAGAGGGTAATAGAGACAAGGGAAAACAACGCATGACATACCTCGTGGGATTAAGCAAGTGGATGACAGAACATGGCCTGGGGGAGGAAGCAGAGGGAAGGAACTTGTTGAGAGCTGCAAGGGATATGGGTGAGGTTGGTGCCAGGGTAAAGAAGACTGAAAAGGACACAGCACATAGGAAGAAAGAAAAGGCCCTCTGGTAGAAATCGAACCTGGATTTCCAGTATAGGAGAAACCATTGTCTAATTCAGAGTACCTTACCACTCATCTATCGCGGGCATCACATGTTGGCCAAGACTCTATTTTCCCTTTTAAGCAAAGAAAACTTTCTCATTCAGATATTTTTTTCGAATGCCTCCATCTGCCCAGGTTCATATCTGAAATGTAAACAAAAACAATTTCTACTTGAATTTCTTTCGAATTTATTTCCTTATTTAATAATGTTTTGAAGAAAGAAAGAAGTCGGTTTAAAAATAAATCCCTTTTATATTTACGACTGTATCATGCCATGTGTATCCGCATATATATATATATATATATATATATATATATATATATATATATATATATATGTGTGTGTGTGTGTGTGTGCGTGCGCAAAAAATTTAATTTTACCATGGACAAATATCTGGTCCTACAGGGAAGTATTCAAATTAAACGGATACTGTGATAATTTTGGGAGGATAATATCTATCTATAAATCTATCTATCTATCTATCTATCTATCTATCTATCTATCTATCTATCTCAGTCTGTTTCTATCTATCTATATATCTATCTATCTATCTATCTATCTATCTATCTATTTCATCTATCTATCTCATCGTTTTCTATCTATCTATCTATCTATCTATCTATCTATCTAAGAAAAATCTTTCTATCTGAAGTCTATTTCTTATTATCTATCTATCTATCTATCTATCTATCTATCTATCTATCTCAGTCTGTTTCTATCTATCTATCTATCTATCTATCTATCTATCTATCTATCTATCTACTTCATCTTTGAGGAGACCGTCCAACATTCGCTTCCGTAAAGGATATCATAGCTAATAACCCTGCCATACAGGAAAATAGTTATCACATAGCAGTTTCTTTTTGCTTATTTATTTCTTACGAAATATTACTGTTTCTTTGAATTTTGTTTAGTTTTTGGAAAGTATCATTTGCTATTATAACACGTCTTCGGTGTCACATTATCGATCCTCTGTTAAAACAATTCAATTTAAACTTCTATATTTGTTTCAGTGACATTTCTAATTTGAAGTTTGAACCATGGGCCTATCAACGAACACACATCCTTGTATCCGTAATACATTATTATTAGAATTTCTTGGATTTATCAAATTCAAATACAATAAAGGATCGATAATTTTTCTTATTTATTTATGATTTTCTCATCAAGTTACATGTGTCATTCTTTTTAGTTGCTGCTATTGCTATTGTTCAAAGCGCACATGTGATGTGGGCGTCCAGGATAAGACGATAAACTACGTCCAACAATACGTTTTGAGGAGCATGGCACCATCTCTTAAATGCTGTTGTTCGAAGGTCCACCCTGACCCGGACCAAAGAAGCATCATTTAGGGTCAAAGGTCTGGCCAAATAGATTAATTTTGCAAATGGGCGTAAAAAATACCATAAAAATTGTAAAAATAGGTTTTATTACCAGCAATAACATTCGGAAGGAAAAATTATTACCAGCAATAAAAATGTTGTCGGCATTAAATAACCCATTGAGGTTGATATGCTGTAAAACAAAATAAACCAAACCAATCTAAACCAAAGAATACATATTGTATTCATACGAATCTATACTAAAAATGTTGTCGGCATTAAATAACCCATTGAGGTTGATATGCTGTAAAACAAAATAAACCAAACCAATCTAATCCAAAGAATACATATTCTATTCATACGAATCTATCCTTAAAATGTTGTCGGCATTAAATAACCCATGGAGGTTGATATGCTGTAAAACAAAATAAACCAAACCAATCTAAACCAAAGAATACATATTCTATTCATACGAATCTATCCTAAAAATGTTGTCGGCATTAAATAACCCATTGAGGTTGATATGCTGTAAAACAAAATAAACCAAACCAATCTAATCCAAAGAATACATATTCTATTCATACGAATCTATCCTAAAAAATGTTGTCTCAATTAAATAACCCATTGAGGTTGATATGCTTTATAAAACAAAATAAACCAAACCAATCTAATCCAAAGAATACATATTCTATTCATACGAATCTATCCTAAAAATGTTGTCGGCATTAAATAACCCATTGAGGTTGATATGCTTTAAAAACAAAATAAACCAAACCAATCTAAACCAAAGAATACATATTCTATTCATACTTGGGCATCACATTTAAAATCTATTTTCCATTAAAGCAAAAAACCTATTGATTCAGATATTTTTTTCAAAAATAAAATCAACTCAATCTAATAAAGAATACATAAACAAATTCAATTTCTACATGACATTTTTTTCAAATTTATTTCCTGAGGAGAAAATAATTAAAAGAAAAAACAAAAAATTCAGGTTTTTTTTTCAAATCCATTTTGATATTTATTTATCTGAATTACAATCGTGTAACATAATATATTTAATATAATTTCTTTATAATATATATAGAAAATATATTTAAAATTCTCATATCTATTATCTTTATATTTATATATATATATATATAATATATATATATATATCTTATATATATATATATATATATATATATATATATATATATATCTGTGTGTGTCTTATATATATATATATATATATATATATATATATATATATATATATATATATATATATA